AACACCGAGGGGCGAGATCGGGTGATCGCGTTCGAATCTCGACAGCTCAAATCTGCAGAGAAGAACTACCCAGTCCAGGACAAGGAGCTACTTGCTATGAAGTATGCACTTGTCAAATTCAGGGTGCACCTGCTCAGCTCCAAGCCATTCGTGTTCTACAGAGATCTTGCGTCACTATGCACTGCGACTCGATCACCTCACCACTAGCAGAGGATGGTCAGGTGGCTCTCCTTCTTCGTAGAATATTTCGTCAAGGTGGAGTATAAGCTGGGAAAGCAGAATGCTGTGGCTGATGCGTTGTCATGCAGACTTTGCACATGTTACGACGGTGACGTCGTCAGTAACGGATTTGATCCGCGCCGCATACGCGGGTGATGGTATGTGTTTAGCGTTGCTACAGGTTGTCGAGAGCAAGGAGTTTGGAGACTCGGACAGGAGGTTGTCGGCGCGATTGCGCACAAGGTTGCACTGATATTCGTTGAATAATGGATTTAGCTTTATAGCACCGACTTGACGGATGCGCCACGAAATGTGACTCCTCACGACGAGGATTTGAAATACCGTATCTTCTATGAGGCCCACGACACCCCATTCAGTGGTCATCTTGGTCGTGAGAAGACGTACAGCTCTTTGAGTTGCCACTACTGGTGGCCCAAGCTGTACAAATGGACGAATACACATGTGAACACGTGTGAGACGTGTCAAAGGGTGAAACTCTCTCCGAATTCGGCGGCGCCGTCGGACAGTTTACCGGAATTTCTGGGTGTCAGTAGTCCATATGTATGGACTTTATGTTTGGCCTGCCGAAAAATTCGGCGGGCAACATGGGTGTGGTGGTCTTTGTGGACCGATTGAGCAAGATGGCTCATCTTGTGGCAGTGCCGCACACCATTGACGGTGTGGAGCAAAACTGATTGTGGATCGTGTCTTTTGACAACATGGACTCTTCGACTCAATTGTCTCCGACAGAGACCCACGCTTCACTGAAAAGTTTTTGTCTCCACTCTTCAGGATGCTGGGCGCCAAGTTGACTATGTCAACAGCGGACCATCCGCAGACCGATGGTTAGACTGAGCACGTCAATCGCGTCGTTGAAGACGTTGTTCGCAGCGTCTGGGCTGAGACGCCGAAGCCCTGGAGCGCCATACTGCCACTTGTGGTGTTCGCTCTGAGTAATGTAGTACATGCGTCTACTGGCTACACGCCGTTCTACGTTACGGGTCTTTTTAACTCTCGCGCCCCCCACGCCGCCATTCCATGGAGAAGAGCTTGGTGGGGGCGTATCAGCCGAGCGGCAAGCTGGTGCCAGTCCCCACACTGTTCGTAAAGTTGTCGATGACTTCCTGTCCACCACTCTGGGATTTTTACGACACGTTCGCGATGCGATGGCCGGAAGCCAAGACATGCAAAAGAATATGCAGACAGAAGAAGCAGAAAACATTGAGGTCGGAGACCTTTTATGTTAAAGCTGAAAACCATCGTACACTTGCGGTTTCTGCTGTCTTTAAGACGAAGCTACGTCCACTATATATCGGACCTTTCAAGGCCGTGGTCAAGCGAGGCCTTACCTATACGCTAAGTTATCTGAGAAGGATGCACACCCACCCGGTGTTTTATATGGACTTGCTAAGTTGTACTGGGATCCGACGCAAGTGATCACAAAAGCGTTGGCACCGAAGCGGCGCCGCCACCCAGAAGCTGGTTTTGAGCACAGAGTGCAATAATTTCCGTTTCCAACGACGCCAGGCGCTCAACCAACGCGCGAAGTGACGCATTTATATGCTCGACGGCTAGGAGCCGCTCCAAAAGAGCGCAATAATCCTCATTGTGATGCAGTCGGTGCACAAAGTGATCGAAGATCGCGAGGGCTTCCGCACGGCAGTATGCGACCTTGGTAAGATACTCGGCGGAGTGCCGATGACGACGGACTTTGTCATCCAGAGCTCGAAGAGCATCGCGAGTCACCGGGCGGAGATTAACCAAGTCGTCATTGTCCGCCGCCGACTCTTCCCGATGAGAGCGGTGGCGTCCGCTATCACGCGGAACGCCTTGTGTGTCGACGTCGTTGACAACGTCAAACCCAATATCTTTTAAAGTGGCGGGGCTACACAAACTCCGAGAATTAGTGGAAGTTCGATGCGCCACTTCGGCAAGACTGCTCATACGTCGTGGACGCTTATGATCGGAAGGAGCATGACGCTCCGCATCGTCGTGCTCCCTGCGCTTCTCGGCGGTAGCCTGGGAAGTCGAACGGCAATGAGCTTAGCTCAAGCAATAACCCTGAGCTGCTGTAGTCTTAAACACACCCGTGTTAGAAATCACAGAGCTCGCGGGAGCGTGATGGATTATTATATATGTCGCAGGGCGACATTACGTATGAAGTCGAAGTTGCGCCTAGAGTCTGATCAAAGATGGCGTCCTATGCGCTCGTCCACGTTTTTATTCTGAGTCTCCGGCTTAAGTGAGACAGCGAGGAAAGTTCCAATGCCGCTGCACCCACTGAACAAAGAGAACCTCATCATCTGCAGCGAGTTCACCAGGGGCGAACACAACAGGAATAGTCCGCATTGCGGGTACAGAAGTGCCTTTGGCAGATTCAAATCAAAGATGGCGTTCTACGCACACGTCCACCTTTTTATGGCTCCGCTGTAGTGAGACAGCGAGAAAAATTTCAGCTGCCGCTGCACCTATTGCTCAAATAGCACCTCATCATCTGCAGTGATTTCGCCAGGGGCGAACACCACAGAAAAAGTCCGCAGTGCGGGTACAGGAGCGCCTTCTTTTTGAGCGCGAAGTCGAGCGCGGTATCTATCCACTGAAATTTTTTGAGGTACCAAGAAGTGAGCTTGGAGAGCTATTCGTCGGTCAAGCTTGACTTGTGTAGTGGCTTGGGCCCCGACTACGTAGACGCCTATCGACCAAGTGATCGCGTCTTTCGCTTCAGTGGGGGAACTGCTGAGCTAGAGCCGTATTTCACACAAAAATACTCCCCCCGAAGTCGAAACGTCGAGATATGGACACGGTATCCGCAAGGTTTGAGCGGGTAGTGGACTTTTTCCGAGTCCTCGACGAGATAATCCGTCACCCGTGGTGGGCGCGGTTGGTTGCACTCGGTTGCCGAGGGCTTGGGATGTGCTTCCCTTGAAGCCGCGGGCGTACTGTCCGTAGTTGCACCGCGTGCAGGAGACGAAGAAGGGCTCTGCCCGCGGGCGCCCTCGGAACCAGCGAGGCTGGATGTTCTTTGTGTCAAAGACATAGGGCTCATTGAGCAGAGAATGCGTGAAGATGATCCTAGCAACGTAACGGTGTCTCAGACACGCGAGCCTCGTACGATGCGACAGTGAATCGTGAAATGTGGGTATTCACAACAAAAATGGGGGAGAGTGTAACGGGGTTACATGTACCCTGGTATGATAGTCATACAAGATGGTGGGACCGTACAAAGGTATGGATTGCACAAGTCGGTGTAATCACACAATGGTGTGGCTAGAAGCCACTATGTGGCGGGACTGCCAGTAGTTATGCATATTAATTAGGTTTTACTATTAAATCAGGAAACGTAAGGTTTTAGATAAAGGCGGCTCTACCGCAAATAAAATAGATAAATACAGTTTCAATTTTGAACGGAAGGGTACATTTGCCTAAGGATAAGGTTGTGGTTACTCTTGGAGTAAACGGATTGCGATCCGCTACACTAATAATGGTATAGAACGAAGGTCGGTGACATTAAGTAAGCTCTCTAAGCAAAAAGCTACGACAGCTCCGCTGCACTTTGCGCAATTGGAGTGCACTTTAAGCTTATAAGTTTGCGTAATAAATGTTAACTTCAGTGCGACTTACATCTTAGTAGGGGGCATATGGACATCATCGTATATTAAATCTTCGTACATTCATCCATACTTGTGTGCGATGATTCACTGACAAAATTGCACAGTTGCACGAAAAATCACGTTGCGCTCTTGTGTAGCTGTGTTGGATATCCAGAGCTACCAAAGTATCTGTTCTGATGACTCTGTAAAAAAGAAATTTATAGCTCACACCGGAATTTTTTTCATACTGTTAGTACAACATATATATTTGGTACCAGTATGAATATGATTAAATCTAAGATACTTGTCATTCCTGAAATAACAAAAACCTAGATATGAAGTTACTTTGGAGGCACTCGATTGACTTCCTGCTAAGGCGTAAAACTCCAACCTCTGTGCGTTGTAAACGCAAACTCTTTAGTTAAAAGATTCTTTGTGCTAGGTGCACAGCAATGTTATTGATTTCCAATTGGATAAAACCCAATCATTATTTTTCCATAGTGAAAACATGAAATATCATAATAAATCGCTACAGGTCGATGGCGCGATCGGCCCGCAATGGTGTACTTATCATTGGTTGGGCAGTGATGACCAAAGAATATTTATTTGATGTCAATTACGGCATAGGCATGTCAATGAGCCCCACAATTCCAGACGGATCTTTTGTATTCGTAGAGCGTCTGTCGCAGCAGTGGCGAAACTGGGAGCGTGGCGACCTGGTGCAGCTGCGGTCTCCCACTCGGCATGGGGGTGAAACCATTACAAAGAGAATTCTTGCGCTTGTGTGTAATGTTTATTGTGCTGAGTCAGTATAAACACATTGTTGATAAGTATTGCAATTGTGATGCAGGAGGGCGACGTAGTGGAGTTGCAACCGCGTTTTGACAGGGAACGCCATGGCAAGATTAAAGTTCCTAAAGGTCACGTGTGGGTGGAGGGAGATAATTCAACGTGCTCCGTGGACTCGCGGCACTTTGGTGCTGTCCCTGCTGCGCTATTAATCGGACGACCCTTTCTAATAGTAAGTTTGAAAGGATCCATCCATCGGTTGTTTAAAATAACTAGTTTGCTGTCTGATCAAGATCTAATACAGATACTTCAGCTTAAAAAGCAACATACACCAAGAAAGAAATTCCTCGTTATCAAGATGACGGCATTGACCTTTTCGAGGATGCTGCAATTTTCTGGATGGATCGACTTCTCAGAATTGTCTGTATTGATGAGTTTCGTCTGTAGGTCGCTTTGTACCACAATTAGCACAGAAATTGGCCTGCTCTGACGAATACGTGGCTTGGCACTTGAGACAAATAAATGGTCGCTGAGATTTACTCACAACCGCAGGGCCTGCTACCGAAGGCGTAGTTTGCTCTCTCTGCTTCGCCTCGTAGATTGAATGATAATAGTTCATGCGGTTAAGCTCCTCCCAACCATCCGCTAGCAGCGTCTGCACTCGATCCAGATTTTGTGTGTTTACTTCGTCTCGAAATTTCATTCTTACATATGTCTTCATCATCTCGCGCTGCTCCCACTGCGGGCAGCGACGTGCTGAGCGCAGACATTGCGCGTATAGTTGCAGCACAGGATGCCTCATCGTCAACTTTTAAAAAATTGCAATTTCGACATACACCTACTTCATTCCACATACTCAGCGTGATTGGCTCAAATAAGGTAATATTCTAGACGCATCAAAGCCGCCCATTATACGCAATAAAATGAGCTCCCAATCCCTTTGTCACGTCCTCCGCAACGGCATCAGCATCAGTGCGCGTCGCCAGGCACTAATCACGCGAGGTGGACACGCCCACCGCCCACCACCACCTCCATTTGCGCGCATTCAGGTGCCAAATCAGCCGTTGCATGAGGAGGCGGAGCTGGTATGGAACGACGGCGTTGCACCCGAAACGCTTATTGACTTTGACGCACCGCACATCCCTAAGTTCCAGGCATTACGACACTTGATGCTCGGATTAAGCGCCTTTGCTACACTCATGGGCGTGGTGACGCTGTATGATCCGAATTCATGGCGACAAGCGGTGCGTGGAGAAGATAATCGGAATGGTGGCAAGTGACACCACTAATATCTTTTTGGTTGTTTAATGTTTCAGGTGAAGCGAGGCGACCATCTGCTCGACCTCAAATGGGAAATGGGTGAGGCTGATAAGCCTGAGGAAGAGATGGAAGATTAATATACACGCATCTGTAAGACAGGCGTTTGTGTAGACGTATAGTCCCGATGCTCCAAGCCTAGAACAGAGACAACAGTACTTAAAATAATCAATTTACAGCAAATCCTTCGCAACATGAGCCTACATAAAATGCTTAGGTTATCAGGAGATAAGAAACTGCTGTCAATATCAAGTTGGCAAGATTTCTGAAACAGCAATCTCCTACGCCGAATACTGTGCAGCCACGCACGACTAAGTACTAGATGGCTGTGCGCTATTTCGGCTGGAGATGATAGAGTCGATAATACCAAATTCTTTTGCCTCACGTGGGTCCATAAATAGATCGCGATCCATCGCCTGCTCAATCACCTTGATTTGCTTTCCCGTATGGCTTGCATATAACCCATTTAGTCTGTTCGATAATAACGACACCTGTCAGTTCGATACACAAGCAATAAGAATTGCTTCTTCACCTTGCACGAAGTTTGATAATTTCTTCGGCCTGAATCGCGATATCGCTAGCCATACCGTGTGCACCACCTGAGGGCTGGTGGATCATAATCTGCAACCACAATCAATGTTTTGCAAATGTTTGTCACAATGATCTCAACAACTCACACGAGCGTTAGGCAAAGCTGAACGACAGCCTGGCGCTCCACCTGCTAGAAGCAACGATCCCATTGAAGCGGCCTGACCTATGCAGAGCGTATTGACCTGAGGCTGAATATACTGCATGGTGTCGTATATCGCCAGCCCAGAACTCACGATACCGCCAGGGCTATTAATGTATAGAAACACGTCTTTTTCAGGATTCTCCGACTCGAGGAAAAGCAGCTGTGCGGTCACGAGTGACGCCATGTCATCGTTCACAGGCCCATGAACGAAAACGATTCGTTCCTTTAGCAACCGCGAGTAAATATCAAACACGCGCTCGCCACGTGGCGACTGCTCTAGGACCATAGGAACCAATGAGTTCGTGATAGAGTGAATTCCTCGACAATTTAATCGACTTTGTAGCATCTTGGATGTCCGGGGTAGCATATTGGATGGTGATAATACAGATAAATGGTGTGAAATTTCACTTTACTCTTTGAAATATAGAATCGTAAATTTATTGTAGAGAAACTATTTAGGAGGTATGACCTCATCCAGCGCTTGATACATAAACGTGGCAAAAGTGGGGTCTAACAATGCCTTCTCCAATGTCTTCATCATGTCTTGACTACATTCAATCTGCTCAACACAAAATGGTAAGATTAGATCGCACAACATACTTCCAAATGAAAATGAACTGGTCGTACCTGCTTTAGCGCCATAGTAATGGACGGATTTGCAAGCATTTTTCTCACACTTTCAGACGTCTTTAGCACGCTCAATTGCTCTTCTGTAAGTTTCTCTGCATCCTCTTCGTCCACATCAATGGCAGCTGACGCTGGCGTCGACTGCAGCATCTCCTGGTGTTTATCGGGCACGGGCTCCGGCTCACATGGCGTCTCCTTATGCTTCTTGTAACATACTAAGCTACAGTAAGGTGATCGGCATGTTGGGCATTTGTACTTGGCCTCAGCTGTCTTGCACACTTCGCACTGATGCGCCATTAGAACCAAAATTTAAGTTTTCTTCTCAAAATCGGCAACTTTTTTAGAAAATTGATACGCTAAATAGATGTCACGTTTCTCTCAGCTGTTACTGGATTGAAACGGCACGGCGACTCAAGCTTTAAACAAGCAACACTTGAACCAGTTTACGCTCGCCATATTTTACCAAGATGCAGGAGTTGCAGTGCATTGTGCAGACGTATGCATGGGGCAACTTTGGGTCCGATAGTTCTGTCGCACAGCTTAAGGTTTGTAAATCACGCATCAAAGTGATCATTTTGGGCACAAAGTAGCAATCCTCTAATCAGTGTTTTGCCGATTGAAGGCGGCAGCAGATGAGTCCTTCAAAGTTGATACCGCTATTCCATACGCAGAACTTTGGTATTAGAAATGTTGAGTGTATGTGCACGCCACACATGAAGTGTTCTTAGCAACGCTTTGTTTGAACAGGATGGGAACCCATCCCAATGGTCCTTCGAAGGTACTGCGCGAGGATGGCACTGCAATACTTCTGAGTGAATGGATTCGAATGCAATACAAGAACGATTCTGAAGACTTGCCCTACTTGTTCAAGGTGCTGTCTGTGCGCAAAGCACTGTCCATTCAGGCCCACCCGGACAAAAAGCTGGCTCGTGCGCTGCATGCCAAATTCCCACAAGTTTACAAGGATTCGAATCATAAGCCAGAGATGACTATCGCACTTACTCGCTTCGAGGCTTTGTGCGTAGGATAATTTACTGAGCTGCCAGGCATATCACTAATTTAGAAATTGCAATTACAGATGTCAATTCCGTGAAATAAGCGAAATCGTGGCGTATGTACAGTCAGTTCCCGAACTTAGGGCCCTCGTCACCTCTGATGGTTCGTCACTGCAAATGATAGTCGAAACCATACACTTGATTGAAATATATTGTTTGATCGTTGTTGCAGTAACTCAACAACTAGTAGCGCACAAAAATGAAGCTGCTTTGCGTGCGTTTTTCCATTGCTTCATCCACGCAGAATCAAAAAACATCAAGGCACAATTGCACACACTACGTGCTCGTCTCGAGGTCGCATCCGAACTGAGTCCAGTTGAAAAGCTTATTCTTCGTCTGGACTCTGAGTACCCTGGTGATATTGGCTGCTTTTGTCCGTTCCTGCTTAATTACATAACTTTAGAGCAGGGCGAAGCCATGTTTTTAGGAGCCAACGAGCCGCATGCTTACTTATCAGGAGATTGTATCGAGTGCATGGCGTGCTCAGACAATGTTGTGCGTGCAGGACTTACGCCCAAATTTATCGACAAAGAAACGTTGCACTCTATGCTTACATACCACACGGGCAAGCCACGCGTATTCAAGGGCGACATTCAGTGCGATGGGGCTGCACGATTGTATAGCTCGCCAGTACCAGAGTTTGAGGTCGAAGCAATCGAACTCAAGCCGTATCAACTGTATACATTATCAACACGAAAGGGTGACTCAATTGTGATCATTACGTCGGGCAGTGCGATCACATTGCAGCACTCAGGATCTGCTGACAATGCGAAACTGTCTAAGGGCCACGTGTATTTTCTGCCAAAGAGCGAGGTTCTTGAAATTCAAGGGAAAGAAAACGGGTTTTCCGCATATCGTGCGTTTCCGAACGAAACACTTCGTGATTGAATAAAGCGCATCGAGTTCAACAGTATTATTGTACAATAAACAACCTCACGTAAGCATGCTGGCAACATTAAGCACTTGACGCTCGGCCAGAGTGCATTTCATCTGTTGTCGACATAAGGCTCTGTGCAACGTTTCGCATCACCCATTGTACCTCACGGGGAATCTCAAGCTTCGGCATACGCGTCACACGACTGTCGTTATCTCCTACTCGCCTGTATGGTGCCAATGTGTTTTGAAAATCGATAGTTTTGAACTGATTATGCTCATTATCCTCTTCACTCAAAAACTCATCGTCTGCATACTCAATTACTTCAGCATCGGGATCTTCGAAGTCGTCGCTGTACTGAGTACCACTTTGATCGAAAAAGTCGGACGAGTCATCGCTGTAATAGTTCTCTTCAGCTTCATATTCAGTCAATGATGAATTGGATGAAGCATCTTCGTCATTGCTATCAGCGTCTAGTTCTAGCTCACGCATCATTAAACTTTCACTAAGTGATGGTGTTCCATTGTCTTCTAATTCAGCGTCCTCGATTGATAAATTCGATAATTCAAGAACCTCTTCGCTGTTTCGCAAGTCGGCTACTTGTATAACAGTCGGATCCGACCAGTTACCATCGATAGCGTTGCCACGCCCATTGGCTCCTCTCCTTCGCAAATTATTAGGTGATTGTATGTTATTTTTTCTTCCTTTGGAACCGTAGTAGATTCGCAAGCTGTCTAGACACTCCTCACTATACTCATTCTCGTAGTTGGGATTCATAAGCTCCTCGGCGTCTGCATGAAAGCGAATGTCTTCTGCACACTCGGTGGCGTTATTCAAATCAGAGAATACACAATCATTTCTCTTTGCGTTCTCATGGTTTTCCTCTCCTTTCCACGCGACAAAATGTTGATCATTTGCAATTCGCTTTCGTTTTGGCAGAGCCGCTGATGAAAAAGGACATTGCTCATCGATTTCTTCATGAATTTCATCTAAAATTGACTTCTCCTCTGTTGCAAAGACCAGCGGGTCGGGCGTACTGCTCCGTTCTGGTGGCCGAAAGCCAATTTGAGAATCTTCTGTAATACTCATATCCAGAACTTTAAGTTTGTCACTGTCCGAATCCTCAATGTTGTCATCAAAGGTTGTAATTGGCATCCATTGCAGAGGAACAATGGGCGCTGCTTGAGAAGGTGGGAAGGATGCTAGCGATCGCAATTTCCTCTGTTCCCCAGACAAACGGCGGGCTGAGAAGTTTTTGGGGTGCAGCCTACGTCGACACACCCCTGCAGCGCAGTCGTGCTGTGGTCTCCGTGCCATAGGGTTCACCACTTTAACCTTCAGTGACCCTCCCGAAGCCACAAGTCCTTGCATATGGTGACGGATGTACGGCATTGCAAAGATATCTTCCATACTAGGCCTACGTTCAGGGTTTTTATCGAGCAACTTGTGCAGCAGACTGGACACTTCCGAATCATAATGAGGAGGGATGGGAGTGAAATCCTGCTGCACGATTTTAAGAATAAGTGTAAGAATATTTGGGGCGTCAAAGGCGTGACGCAGGGTAAGCATTTCGTACAGAACGCAGCCTAATGACCATACATCACTCGCATACGAGTACGGCTTGCTCTCGCATACTTCTGGGCTCATATAATATGGTGTTCCCACTACAGTTTGGGCCTGATCCAGCGTTGAGTCAAGCGTCTTGGCGATGCCAAAATCCCCGAGTTTCACCACGTTATCGGTTGTTAGAAACACGTTGCTGGTTTTCAAATCTCGGTGCAGCACACGCTGTCCGTGAAGATACTTAATAGCCATCGCCATTTGCACAAACCAGTCCAGCACCTGACTGATAGGGAAATACCCTCTTGGATCCGCAAAATTGCTGTCTGGCCCAATGATCTGCTCGCGAAGCATTTGCTGTCTCTTAATCTTGTCAGCTAAGTCGCCACCATCGCAATAGGCCATAACAATATGCAGTACATTATCTACTTCGAAGCTCTCACTGTACTCGACCACATTTGGGTGCTTAAGTTTAGCCAGTAGCTCCACCTCACGAAAAGATTGATTCTTCTCTTTGATCGAAAGAAGCTCCATTGGTATTTTCTTAACTACAAAACGGTCTGGTATACCATTCTGTTGCCGCACCCGTACCAGATGCGCCGATCCGTAGCTGCCGCGACCAATACACTTGATCTCTTCAAAACGATGCATGTTAACGACTGTAAATCGCAGATAAGTCAACACTGCGTAGATACTGGCTGGCGGCAAGCGGGGGGCTTGTACAGCGGTCAGGCGCCTTTCTGTGTGTGTAGGACGTGCTGCCACTGAAGCTTTAATGTACCTAGAATTGGTGTGCGGCGGTCGACAGGACGAAGGTCGCCCGTTTCATGGTTTTTTCTGTATGTTTTGAACATGAACAGTGGGAGAAAGAAATTTACTGTGAAGGATGATTGGCGGCACAAAATCAGCAAAGAGTGAAAGGCCAAAGCAGAAGTGCTTTCTTTGACCTCGCGTACTACCAATTAGATCAAATAAAGATCGACGGCCACGGCTTTCGGCTTTCGGCTTTTGGCTTTTGTCTTTTGTCTTTTGTCTTTTGTCTTTTGTATTGATAACGAGCTCATCTACTGCTTTCTACTCTTACCCTGATCTTCAAAATAAAGACGAGATAGAATCATTTTGCATTGATGGAATTATGGCCAGCAAGGTACGTCTAATGTCAGTGACCATCACCATGTCCATGAATCCCACCAGAACGAGCTGCAGCTTCTTCTTTTTCCTTCTGAGTAATTACCACGTTCATGCGCGTCAACTGAAATTGAGCAATGAGTGGGTCAGCTGTTAAAGACTGCATCGCCTTTCTAAGTCATACCTCCTTCCTGTGGTGGAGGCATTCCATGTAATCTTCGACCTGCTTGCCGCACTGACCAGAGTACTCTGTGTCTTTCTGCACAGCAAACGAGTTATTAGCTCGGTAATAGATTTGATAGATAGATGCACCGTCAGCCACCGCAAAACATACACTGCACTGCTCTACATCTTTCCAAAGTTGGTAGCATCTGCCCTCACGTCCTTTGAATCCAAAGCCCGAGGCCATGTTGTTGAAATGTACCTCCTGGGAAATTTCGTCGGCTCAAAATGAGCCAATCCTCACTGACCTCACAAAGTCGATCAATAAAAAGTAGGGAGAATAAAAAAATGCCCCAACTTTTGCCATATATAAAAAAATATCCCAACTTTT